ACCTGTCTTCATACTGTCCTCTCTGTCTCAGTTAATGGCAACTTCAACCTTCCAATTTTAGCTTGGATTGAAAACTGAAAATCTTAACGTCTTCTTTCATTTTTCTTTAACCCCTGCCTCCCTACCAGTAAATCTGGCATGTTCTGCTTTCCAAATATATCCAGATTCTGCCTTCTTTTCACTTCCTGTGTTTCCTACCTCATTCAAGTTATCATTTCTTGCTGGGTTATTACAAGTACCTTGTCTCCCTGCTTCTTCCTCTGCCACCCCAAACCCTCCGCCCCAGCCCAGTCTCTTCTCAACACAGTAGCTGGGCTGTTTGTTTTTTAATTAAAAAGTAAATAACACCATGTCATTTTTCTGCCAACACTTTCCAATAACTCTCCGTCTCAGAGTAAAAGCCATAGTCCTAGTAGTGGTTTACAAGGTGCTATATGATCATTCTCCCCACTCCCCCACTGCTACCTTGTCTTATTTTCCAGCTCCTATTACTCTTTTCTCTGATCACCCCACTCCAGCCATATGAGCTCTCCTTGCTGTTTCTTAAACCACACAAGGCACACTACTATCTCATAAGCCTCTGCATTTGCTGTTCCCTTTGCTTGGAGCACCCTGAAATAGCTGCATGGCTCATGCTTCCCCTCCTTTTGATCTTAAAATGTCATCTCAGTAAGGCTTTCCCTGGCTACTGTGCACTCCCTCCCCGTTTGCTTTTCCCTATGGCACTTGACCTAACATGACATGTATTGCACTTAAATACATGATTTATTTTTCACCACCATGTAAGTTGTACAAGTGGCAGGGATTTTTTTTATATGTTTTCTTTTCATTGCTCATCTCCGGTACCTGGTTCATATTAAATGTTCAGTATGTCAATATCCTCTAGCCTAAGACCACCAGGAATACACCGGTGATTGAACAAATTGGGTTTTTGGTTTTATTGCAATGAGGGAAACTGTACACCAGGGGGAACCAAGCAGCGGCTCTAGTAAGGGGATGTTAGCAAGGACTTAAGAGCATTGAGGCTTGTGTTTGGTGATTTGGAGAATGTTTCAAGGAAATGGGGCTCTGCAGTAGATCGGATGCTGCTAGGAAGGAGAAATAATTTTCTTATTGGGTATCTTACAGAATTTCTACTATATGGAAGAAAGAAGAATGTGAGGTTAAAACTGTAATTGGTAAAGAAGTTACTGTTTTAGGGTGGTTTGTTATGCTTTAAGAGATAACCAGAACACAATGAATTGAGGTTTGCATCTCTCTAATTGACGGAGTTAAATTTAAGGATCAACACATTGGAATTTCACTGCTATGTAAGTTGAAAATTGCACTTGCTAGGGTCTGTTCATTGAAGTTATTCTCCAATTTCCTGCAGAACATTGAAAGTTCTTGGTTTAAGATCAGGTAGAAAGTGATCAGGTGACGGCTGAGGACAGTGGCAGTTCACACTTTTTAGTGATAAGACTAAACAGCTGTCCATAACTTATATTTAGTACCATTATCAGAATAGAGGATTAATTTATAATTACCCTGAGAGTACTAAAAACATCTCCAGTGCCTTTAATTTAGTTCGTAAGCTATAATATAAATACCATCACTTTACAAGAATATTTAACCCAGGAAACCTGTAAGTAAAATCTTTTGTAGGCTGCACATGAACATTACTGTGCTTCTTTAACCTGACTACAACATCATTGAAATATATGTATATAAATAGTTTACTTATACATAATTTAACTTAGAAAAATTAAAGTTATTTTTTAGCTTATAATTTTCTATATCGTAAGTTTGATAAATGTAAGAGCCCTTAGGACAGTTTTTGGTCCATTAAAATATGGAGAATGTGAAATAAGCCTAATTATTATTAGACTTACCTTCTTCTGTACTGAGGTAAAATGCACATAACATAGAATTAACCATTTTGAAGTGTACAGTTTAGCGATATTTACTACACCTACAATGTGTTGCAACCATCACTTCTATATTTATTTTCAAAACATTATAATCACCCCAAAAGAAAATCACCATTAAACAGTCACACCCCCAACACCAGCCCCTAGAAAAAAGTACTTTTTGTCTCTGGATTTACTATTCTGGACATTTCATATAAATGGAATCATAAAACATGTGATATTTCTTGTGTCTGTCTTCTTTCACTTGGCATAATGTTTTGAGGTTCATTTATCTCCTATCATGTATTACTATTTGATTCTTTTCTACGGCTGAATAATATGCCACCCTGTTGTGATTATTGTAGCTTTGTACAACCTTTTGAAATCAGGAACTCTTGAGTTTTCCGATTTTGTTTTTCATTTTTAAAATTGTTTTGGTTATGCAGTGTCCCTCTCAATTCCATCCAAATTTTAGGATTAGCTGTTCCATTTTGGCACAAAAGGCCATTGGGATTTCAATATGGATTGCATTGAATCTGCAGATCGCTTTGGGTAGTATACCATATTAACAATATAAGTCTTTTAATCCATGTCTTTCCACTTACTTAGGTTTTCCTTGATTTCTTTCAACAATATTTTGTAGCTTTCAGTGTATATCTTAAAATCTCCTTGGTTAAATTTATTCCTAAGCATTTTATTATTTTTTATGTTATTGTAAATGTTTTCCTGATTTCATTTTCAAATTGTTCATTATTAGTGTACAGAAATACATCTGAGTTTTGTATGTTCATTACATGTCCTTTATTATGTTGAGGAAGTTCCCAACTATTCCTATGTTGATGGGTTTCTTTTTAATCATGAAAGCGTGCTGGACTTTGTCAAATGATTTTTTTTTTTGCACCAATTGAGATGATCATGTGTTTTTTCTTCATTCTACCAACGTGGTGTATTACATTAATTTTTGTATTTGAACCAATACGGTGTATTACATTAATTTTTGTATTTGAACCACCCTTGCATTCTTGGGATAAATCCCACTTAGTCATGATGTATAATTCTCTTAATATGATGCTGGATTCAGTTTGCTAGTATTCTGTTAAGGATTTTTGCATCAATATTCATGAACAATATTGATCTATAGTCTCTTCTTGTGATAGCCTTCCTTTTTCTTTTCTTTTCTTTTTTTTTCTTTTTTTTTTTTTTTTTTTTGTTTAGTTTTTACTTGGCAGTCATTTCAGGTAAGTCAAAGATAGTTTATGGATTATTCTGACTTCGAGTCCTGTATTTGGGAAGACAAAATTAAGACATATACTCAGAGTATACAAGATATGAAAATAAGTCATAATTTTCATAAATAAGGGCATGATATGCCATAAATAAGGGCATAAAGTTACAGTCAATATTTTGAAAACACAGCAATATGTAACAATGTCAATAAATATAGATCTAACCACCCAGTGTGGAAAAGCATGGTATAATCATATACAGAATACTGTGGGAGTCCAGAACAGGAGCAGCCAAATTAGACTGAGGACCAAGGAAAACAGAAGACTTGGTGCTTTGGCTGAGTCACTGAGAGCAAAACCTAGCTGGGGAGAGAATATATGTATAAAATTATAAATAACATAGACCAGTAGTGTAAGTGCTAAATAAGGCATTCAAGGCAGTAAGTGACAAAGGAAGTAACCTCTTACATGCATTGGAACGGTTGAGAAAGAAAAGAAGCTGGAATTTAAGGTGGTTTATAAAGTTCAAGTAGAGTTGAGATAGAGAGGAAGGGAGCAGGAAGAATTGGAGTCTTGGGTGAAGACATAATTTGGAAGATGATACGTAGCAATTTTGGTGGCTGTGGGTCATGGAAGGGAATAATGTTGATGATACATTGAGGTCTTGGAACACAGGTTAAACTTCAACTAGGTTAAGGTTAAAAACTAGGCTAAGCAGATCAGAGAAACAAAAGAATATGCAATAGGGGAAAGAGAGGAGTGTGGAGACAGAAATAGATAACGGACTGAGAGGAAGAGAAGGGGAAGTTACTTGAGGTATCTCTAAACCTCAAGTTGTAATGACAGTAGAAATAGGGAAGATAAACCAAACAAGCAAATAAATAAACATATTTGTTGCCTACTTGGTGCAAAGTTCTTGAACAGCGCTTTTCAAAACATGGTTTAGGAATTCCTGTTGTTTCTTATGCATCTTTCTGGAAGTTTCCTGTATTAATATTTAGAATGTGACAGTATCTGTTTCCTCTGTGGATATCACATTTAAGGAAAGTATGATGTCAAAATGTGCTGTATTAATTATGAGATACCTGAAATTATTTTTTAATTATATAAGTGATACATGACTATGTTCTTGTAAAAAAAAAAAAGGAAACAATACATATACAGCTTAAGGACTCCAATTCTGATCCTCTGTCACCACTATTGATGTAGTGTATATTCTAGACCTTTTGCCACGCATACACATACTTACAAATTCATAAAATTTCATAAAGTATACTTTTATAAAACAAATTTTATACCATACTTTTCCTTCTGCAACTTAAAAAAAAACAAAACCCTATTCATCATTGGATTTATTCCATCTTTTCAGCTGCTTCGTAAGTACTACAATTAATTCAGCCATTTACCTGCTCTGAATGCCCCAATTCTTCACTGTTACTGAGCTGGACAGAACTAGTACATAAAGAGCTCCCTGTACAAACGTACTGGTGTTTCCCTAGCATTGACAGCAATCAGTGAAATTGCTGGGTCAGAGGAAGGTGTATTTTAAAATATAGTATATCATGCCAAGTAATCGTTAAACTGCCTGTACCAGTTTACAGGCCTACGTAGAGATTTTTAATCACTCGTTTCTGGGCACTGACAGTTTTCCTCTACCGAGGGCTCCAGGCCTGGCAAACCCCGCCCAACCGCACGGCTCAGACCCAGACAGCACTCCCGGGTCCACCTCCCCTGCACTGGATTCGCCGCGCCGGTGCCTCTCGGAGGTCCCGCCTCTTGGCCGCGCCTCTTCCGAGGGTGGGCAGCGACGTCACTGCCGGCTGGACGCCATCTTGCTGGTTTGCGGCGGGGCTTGGATGTAGAGGCGGCGGTGGCGAGGGCGTGGGGAAGGGTGGGGTGAGGGGGCGAGGCCGCAGCTAGCGCGGCGAAACTCTCCTCCCCTCTGCCCCACAGCGTGGGACGGCGTGAACGCGGTGTTGGAGGGATGTCCGCCTTCTCTGAGGCGGCGCTGGAGAAGAAGCTGTCGGAGTTAAGCAACTCGCAGCAGAGCGTGCAGACCTTGTCCCTGTGGCTCATCCACCACCGCAAGCACTCGCGCCCTATCGTGACCGTGTGGGAGCGGGAGCTGCGTAAAGGTGAGTCGCCCGGGACCCCCAGCCCCTCTTCTCGGGAACCCCATGCCCCCAGCGACCGCAGCTCCCCGCTGCCTGCCACTCCCCTACCCGGCCCCGCGGCTCCCTGGCCTCGGTGTTCTGGGCGTTTGGAGGAGCAGCGTGCGCTGCGCTTCCCGCAAAGTCGGCACTTTGTAGGCATTGCTGAATAAAGGAGCGAAGGATTAAAAATGAACTTCTATTGATTTAACAAAGAACCAGTAACCAGGGGCTGAAGACTGCTTACCTAATTAGGGCCAGAAATTCAGGCAGTCAGGTTTTTTGTTTGGTTTTTTCGGGGTTTTGTTTTCTGTTTTTCGTTCTGCACATCAGTAATGGAGGCTGGGTAAGGAGAACGGTAGGGGAGTGTGGAAAGGAAAATTGGTGTGGGGCTGGGAGTTACTGCCGTCATTTCTGTAACATATCAACTCAGTCTTGTAAAATCAATAAAGGAATCAGAGTTTTAGAACTGGGGAGTCTAAAATAAGATGTGTAATGCAATGGAGAGACTCCTGAATTTATAGATTTTAGGGGACCTGGATTGGACAGATTTCTCAATTCCTGTATTGCAGTTTGCCTCACCCGACTGAGGGAGTTGGATTAAGTCATCTAAGGTCCTTTCTTGCTCCGTGATTGATTGTATTGAGTCTAGGGCAGTGCCTTTAGTTTGCGGAACCTTCGAAAGTGCTTCTGTAAATGAAGGTAACTTTTAAGCGGAAGTCTGCTGTCACGAGAATACCCAGAATCATTTCACTTCTACACCTTTATCTGTAAGAACTGTTGGTATGTGAGTGCGACTGAAAATTTTAAAAACTCATTTGCTTAATCTGGGTTTGTACTTCTTAATTCATTGGGTAGAGAGAGTGGACACTCCTCATTGTTGTTTCAGACGTTCTAGTGTGAGAAAAAATGGTTATTTATTAATTACAGGATTTAATAAACCGATATTAATCAAAACAGATGCCTGTTTGCCGGCCTATATGATGTATTAATTAATATGAGAGTCAGTGTAGCTTTGGTTGTATAGACCGGAGACAAATTATCTTTCTCTTGTGTGTTTGCTTGTGGTTAATTCACTAGAAGAAATTGATATAGAGCTCCATTTTTTTAGTTCATATGTAAGTGTATGTGTATTGGCTCTCAAGGAGGAATTTATGTTCTCTGAATGGCTAGAAAGTTTTGAGAAATCCAGGTATAAAGGTCTAGAAAATAGCTGTGAACTTCATGAAGGCAGGAATTGTCTTTGCTTCTATACCTTACTGGATTTCAAAATCAGCAATAGGCCTTGTCCTTTTTTTTGGATAGAGCATTTAGAAACACATATAATCAATAAGGGATTGATACCAGACTATTTTTAAGAACTACCACAAGTCAATAGAAAAACGACAATACCGTTAAAGGCATTTCACATGATAGGAAGCTTGAAAGGCCACTAAGTGATATTTAATCTTGAAAAAAACAAAGCAGTGAGGTGCCACTTTATATTCTTTAGTTTGCAAAATTGAAAAGTATGACAATACCAGGAATTGGTGAGGATGAGGGGAAACAGAAACTTTTTGGTCAGAATGTAAAAAGGAGATCAGCTTAGCAACTGTCGAAGGAAGCTGAAGGTAATATATCCTTGACTCAGCAGTTTTTTTTGTTTCTTTCTAGGAATATATCCTAGAAATTAGTACTTGTGTTTGAGGAGTTATGTTTATGGCAGTCTGTTAATAACAAAGAGTATGGACAAATAAATATATTGTGATACTCATACAATATAGTACTGTCCAGCAGTTTTCGTGAATGAGCTAGAGCTACATGAAACATGATGTATTAAAAAACAGCAATAAACAAGCAAAATGTTGAGCTGAGAAAGCAGAGTGCAGACCAATATGCCATTTAGTAGTTTGAAAACATGCAAAGCAATACTCTAGTTTACAGATCTCTATAGTTTCAGCTACATGCATAGTAAGGATTAACACCATATTCTAAGATAGTGGTGTCAACATAAGAAACATATAAACCTGTAGAGAATTTTTTTTCTTAAAGATTTTATTTATTTACTTTTTAGAGGGAGGGGAAAAGACAAGAGAAATACAGGTAGTACAAGAAACACCAGTGTGCGAGAGATAACATCCATCAGTTGCCTTTCGCATTCCCCCAACTGGGTACCTGACCTGCAACCCAGGCACGTGCCCTGACTGGGAATCCTACCGGCGACCTTTCGGTTTGCAGGCCGACACTCAATCCACTGAGCCACCCCAGCCAGTGCCCTGTAAAGATTTTTTAGTAGAGTTTATTTTAGCCAAACTGATGACATAGGTCAGAGAGCAAAATCTAAAGTGCTCTGGAGAATGAGTTTTACAGTTTTTGTGCATTTGAATTTAAGGAGGGAAAAAAAGCCAGGGATTGGATTACAGGATAGTTAACAAGAGTATGTGTTCTCTTGAGGGTTCTGTATTCTCTTGAGAATACCCTTCCAGGGGTATTCTAATATTTCAAAGGTCTGTTAAGCTAGATGCATTGAGCGCGATGGACAGGGCTGGCTTAAAACCTTTCACTAAAGAAGTCACAGGCCTGGGGCATGACCCACTATGACTTGCCCAGTTAGGAATTTATGATCAGATCACCCTGTGAGGTTATTTTCCATAGAACCCCTCTTAATTGCCAATAGTGATTAGTTACCATAAGGGAAAGAAGAAATGAAAATGGATTCGTGTTATATTTCATACAATTTTTTTAAAAAATTGATACAAATGTCGGAAATGATAAGCTCTGTTACTTCTTACCTGTGTGGGGAGATGTTTTCATTTTGTTTAAGTGCTCATGGTTAGAAAAGTTAAAGGCATATAAATAGATGCTTTAGGAAGACAGCGGTGTTGGGTCATGCTGGTGGTGATGGAAGGGTGAAGACAGTAGCAGTGGCAGTGATGGTCATGATGCTGCTCATGCAGTTCTCGCCTCTGGAGTTACCTGCCAGGGGTTTCCTTTCTCGGCGCATGACTATGCCTTTGTCGGTGTAGCCTTTGCAGCCTCACCCCTTTGCAGTTTTGCTAATCATTTTAGGATCCTTCATCTCTTGTAGCCTGATGATAATGACAATAGTTTACTGAGTACCGGGCATTGTTTTAGCCATCTTGCTGTGACATCTTGACTCCTCACATTATCTCTTCAAGATACACCTTTTGAAAGGAAGAGATCAAATTAGAAATAAATCAAGAAATAAACTAAGAAAGACTGGTTGAACATTTTATATTAAGCTAGACGTTCTTTACCTTCTTGAAGTGTTCAAATGAGACAAAAATGTGACTCGTTGGTAGGAAAAATTACTGTTTAAAATATAAAAATGAGTATGTAAAATATGTCAGACATGGTAATCATTCAGTTATGAAGATTTTCCTTCTTTTCCTACCTGCTTTATCTTTGTCTCCTGAAAGAATTTCTGTTTGGAGGGATATACCCTAAGGCCTTTATGAAGACCAAGTAGCTTTACTTTCCCTGACAAATGCAATACAGTGTAATCAGAAATGTAAGTGACCATTTTGTTGTTATGTAATGGCTTTATTGAGCTATAATTAACATACCACACAATTCATTCATTTAAAATACACAGCCCAGCTGTTGTAAAACCATCAGCACATCAATTTTAAAACATTTGGTCATCAAAGAGAAACTCTATGCCTTTCAGCCATCATCCTTCAACACCCCTCCCCCCACCTTCCCTGGCCCTTAGGCAACTTACCTCATTTACCAATTTACCTTATTTTACGGCGTGTAAAGCACACTCATGTTTTTTGGCGCAGACTTTCAGGAAAAAAATCTTTCATTTTAATTTTTAATTCAATTATTTATTCATTTTTATTTAGAAACAAAACTGATTATCACATTCCAGGGTATTACTTTGCATACAGATATCGTTATTGCTTTCTAGAGTTACACTTTTAATGCGTAAGCATAAATAAAAGAATTAAAAACATTTATATAGATACAGAATTAGTGCTACCCATGTATAATGCACAGCCTTATTTCCCCTCACAATTTGGGCACAAAGAGCACATTATGCACGGCAATATATGGTACTTTGTAGATTAGTTTATTCTTAGCATTTCATTAAATGGAATCATATTACATGTCTTTTGTGACTGGCTTCCTTTTGTTGACATGTTTTCCAGGCTTACCCACGTTGTAGCATCTATCAGTACTTCATTCTTTTTTATGGCCAAATAATAACCCATTGTATGAATTTATCCATTTATCAGTTGATAGGCATTGGATTGTTTACACTTCTAAGCTGTTAAAAATAATACTGCTATGAGCATTTGCATACAGGTTTTTGTGGGGATTTGTTTTCATTTTTCTTAGATAGATACCTAGGAGTAGAATTGTTTGGTCATATAGGAACCTACGTATAATCTTTTGAGGAACTGCCAGACTGTTTTCCACAGTGACTGAATCATTATATATTCCTAAAAGTGGTGCATAAGGATACAATATCTCTACATCTCTGCCAATACTTTTATTATCTTTTTTATTATAACCACCCTCTTGGATATAAAGTAGTGTCTTGTGATTTTGATTTGCATTTCCCTGATGACTAAAGATTTTGAGAGTATTTTCGTGTGCTTTTTGGCCTTTATTTTTTGGCAGTCTTTTGTAAGTGTGCTTTATGTATTCTAGGTACAAGTCACTTATTAGATCTATGATTTACAAAGATTTTCTCCCACTCAGTATGTTGTCTTTTCAGTTCAGAGCAGCAGTCTCCAACCTTTTTGGCATGAGGGACTGGTCTCAAGGAAGACGGTTTTTCCACAGCCAGGGTTGGGGGGCGGGGGATGGTTTCGAGATGATTCAAGCACATTACATTTATTGTGCACTTTATTTCTTTATTATTACATTGTAATAGGTAATGAAATAATTATGCAACTCACCACATGCTAGGGTTAGCATGTGGGCTTACCAAAAATGACTGACACAAGTGCACAGTGCAGGAAAGAGGCACGCAT